TCTCTGTGAAAAGTTTCAAGTCGAAGTTCATAAATCAGTTTTCCTGGAGTTTCTAAGGAAGACCAAGACATTAAGTTAAGGTACCCACTTTTCGAGATTTCTGAAGAACAACTCATCAGAAAAATTTGAAATTTGCAGGATAGATAGACCTTGATCAGTAGGACAAAAGTTATCATTGACTCAAAGTTCCCAAATGTTGCGTAACTTTATTACAGGCACTACCTACCCACGAAAAAAATTCTCTGAGAAAACCATGGTGAGAACAGAAACAACCGCCTCCTAACGTAAGTTTTTTACAACTTGAGTCACGGTTTTGACAAATGTATATAGCTGCATAAACAATCTGATTTTGGCAGGTCATTAAAATCGCTGTCAATCGCAGTTTTCTTCAAAAAATTTTTCTATGGGTGGTTGACACTGTTTAGAGTTGATATCTTTTTATTTTTGTTCTTCGAATAAAAAAAAAGCCAAAATATCGAAGGTATCCTAAAAATCAGCAGAATAATATTTTTTGAAACAAAAAAAAAATGCTCATTCTAAACAGCGTGTCATACATATGAAAAAAGTTCTAACTCAATCAGATGTACTAGACCGACGAAATAGAGGTGTTTCGCTATTGCTTTCCTTGAAAAAGTCGATTTGAGAAAAACACGAAACAATTTACAATTTTTAGATCCCAAAATGTAGTCAGTAGATAGATACTTCTTCAGACTAAACAACAGACATAAAAAAACAAAAATTTTGGATCATGAAAGGGAGGGTACCCTTAAAAAATACAGTATCTTCTCAGCAATAAGCTAAGTGGTCGACCTCTTTTTAAGGTCTTCATCACTCATTAGAGTCTACATAAAGGACATAGTCGTGACTAGATATGTGCGAAACCACGGAAAAGAGAAGTTGCTAAGACCGGAACTCAAGTTTACAGTAAAATATTCTATGGTTACCCAAAAAAAGTGATAGTTATCGACTTAATCAATCAAATAAAAATGAGTATTGAAGAACTATTTTAGTTTGGCACAGTTATCTCTAGACCGAGACCCGAAAAACTAAAATTATTGAGACCGCGATCACTAAAAATAAAGTTGCCACGACTGAATCAAAAAATTGTGGTCTCGTACATCTGTAGTTGTCACTCAAAAGTACTTAATCAATAGTAAGAATTTTCCTTATTAATATTAAAATTGTCTCGAACACATTAAAAAAAAACTCTGACTCAAGTAATCGAAACATTTTACTTTTGTTTATTTTAGTCTCCAAATTAGTAAATTAGAAGCTGATGTACAACGACTAAATCAAACACTTGACAAACATAAATATTCAGAAATACAATTACGTGCACAAGTAACTGATTTAAAAAATCTTCGAAAAGATCTCGACGATTTACGTGCAGAAAATAGTGATTTAAAAACAAAGTTTGTTATCATATTATCATTAAAATAAAAAAAAAACAAATCCTATAAAACAATTTTCTATTATTTTTTTCTTATAGATATGATTCTGTTAATACGCAACGACAACGTGATAAACAACGTCTAACTGATTTTGAACGAAATTTAAATGAGGAACGACAAAATAGACAACGTATAGAAACACAAATAAAAACGGAAAAAACTTTAACAAAAAAACTTCAAGATGATCTAACAAAATTAAGTTTAACACCAGCAAAGTCGGTTTTTCTTTGTATTTTGTTTTTTGCTAAATTTTTCTTTTAATAATAGAAGTGAATGTACAGAACAATGCATAAAGCGAAAACGTGATCTAGAGAATGAAACACGTGAAATACGTAAATTACTTAATGACAAAGACGAACGAATTAAAATACTCGACAATGAAATAAAAGTAAATAAAAACAAAAAGAAATACTATTTAAATATGCATAGAATCATTATTATTTCTATTAATAAGTTTTCATTAAAATTGTTTGTTTTATTTTGAAATATTTCTATATATTTTAATCAAATTCATCTACATTTGAATATTTATTTGAAAGAAACCATGAAAAAAAAATCATACATAACAATATTTAATAATATGATATAAAACTTAAGCAGAAGTTTTATCAATTATCTTCAAAGTTTATGTGCTAAAAAAAAAGCCAAAGCTGACAAGAGGATTATCAATAATTTAAAGTTAATTTTGATCTATTTCTAGAATAATAAATCTTTTAATTCAAAAACTAAATGAATCTTTATTTCTTTTTTTTTGTTTTCTTTAGGCTCTTAAATATCGTGAATCTCAAGCGGATACTGAAGTACTTTATCAACATTTAACACAATTAAGAGAACGAAATGCTCAATTACAAGATAGTCTTAGTGCTGAAACTCGAATTAAACTTGATCTTTTTTCTGCACTTGGTGAAGTTAAACGACAACTTGAAATAGCCAATGGTTTGTATTCATTTATTATTTACATTCGACTGATCACTACAGTGATCATTTTATAGATCAGTAACAAAAATTAAACAATGCTGAGAATTTTCAAAGTGTTAAAAACATATTTTATAGTAAAATTTATAAGCTATCGATTGCTAAAAACGAGAATATGATAAAAGAGAAAAAAGTGGGATGCTGAACTTTCTTTTTTTTTTCATTTTACGATCATTTTTTTATAAAAAAAACAAATATTTTGTATAGAAGACGATCGAGGATAAAGTTCATGTTTGTATTATAAACCTGATCATGTCAGAAGTTAAAATAATATTTCATATGTATAAAACATCTCCAACAATTATACAAATCCTTAAAGAAAAATAAGTCTTAATTTAACAATATATGTCAAAAACATATATATTGTTTCAAAATTGGTTTTTATATATTCAACCCTTCCTTTTGCTCGAACACAATCTAAAAGCAGTATTAAAATATAAAGCTAGGAATTGAGAATTTCCACAGACGTGATAGATACGTTAGAAATGATTCATCACAGACTGTGACAGATGCATTAAAAACGACTTATTACAGACCTTGACTAATGTAACCATCGAAACGTCGTAGAGCGTGACAGACCTTGATGTACAATTACAGAGTGCATATCAATAATATCTCGTTATAATGTATGAATTACTTCTTTATTACATTTCTGGATAATTAAGTAAAAGAATAGTGAAGAAATATGTCCCAATATATATCAAATAAAACAATCTGCATGTTATTAGTAACAGCAGCTAGATTGTGTTTCACATTGCAAATCCACAGAGATTGCATTAACAGCTTTTTTTTTTATTATTCCAATACTATGGTGTATAAGTTGCTTTTGCCCAATCAATACTCTTATGAAAGAAAAAAGATCAGGACTTTTTATATTGTTCAATTCTGATTTTCTATCACATAGTTACTCGAATAACTAAAATTACCCTAAACCGCACGCAGGACAAAGAATGGATTTGACTATTATAGTCCGTCAGGACTAGATTTGTTGAACTTGGATCGAGTCAAATCCTCCTTTGATTCTCTTAATGAAATTTTCTAATCAGAACTGAATAGTTACCCCGAAGACACGAAATAGGTTTTTTCGGCTCCGTTTATCTTTGGTGACTAGCGCACCCTATAGATTTCTTAGACAATTAGAGTTCCTCTAGTCCAAAGTTTTCGAATTCGATTAACAGAACAATTATTTCAGATCTGAATCTGACTAATTCGGGGCTAACCCGACGTATTCTACTTACTATACTATCAGTATATTAGAGAAGTAGGTTTTCTGGAACCATTATGTGGAGTCAAGGATTAACTTAATAATAAAATTCTTAAAAAAAGCACAAATTTTTTTTTGTTTAGGTGCAATTCGAGAAAAAGAACGTGAACTTATTGTTGCATTACAATCTCAACATCAAGCAAATAGTTGTATATTTAATGGTCATCCTCATTCACATTGTTCAACATCATCTGGACATTCATCACCAACACATCAATTAATTGATACAAATAATAATCCGACAACCATAATGACTCCATCATGTTCAACAACGATGTTTTATCCTCCAACTGCTGTTACACCACCACCATTACAAAATGCTACATCTAATCTCGATCCTAATGCTCAAGATTTTTGTTTACCAACACATTCGACAAGCAATAATTAAACAAAAAACAAAAAAAGAACACAAAAAATTATTATATAAATATATAGTGAGATTTCAGAAAAAAAAACGATGACAACGGCCATTTTTATTTTTAGACCATCATAACATACAGCATTTTTTTTGTTTTTTCTTGTTTTCGTAAACGTATATCCGAAATCTTTTTTTCTTTTTTTTTTGATCGATATTTTTCCCTATTCGTATGCGTGTATTTGTTTATTTGTGTGTGTGTGTGTGTGTGTATATTGTTTATTTTCCTCTTCTATATAATACAGATTCAAACCATATCCTTCCTATATATTAACATCATTATCTAATGTCTCATTTGGTCTCTTTTCTACATGTATTTTTGTCTATTCTTTTCCTTTGATGTATATGAAACATCATCATCATCATCATGGTTGTTGTCGTTTGTTTTGTTTGCATATACAAGAAAACATTAAAATAATTGACCATATTGATGGTGGACTATTATCATTTGATTTTTTTTTGTCTTTTATTCAACAGAAATGAAAGGTTATTATCTGAATTTTTTGAGGTTGAAATAGATATGAATGAAGCATGAGTATTTTTCGTCCCGATTAAAATAAAAAAAACCTGTAGTCCCCATCAGAGAAAGATTCAGTCCTGTCAAAAAAGGCAAAATAAAAATTTTGTCAGCAGAAAGTTTTGCATTATTCGTTTACAATCGTCTACTAGTTGATAACACCTATTCTTCTCATTGGATGTTTAATTAGCTATAAAGGAGATCAATTGTTTTAGTTTCGGTTCCATTAAGATTAAAGTTTACCTTTGATTTCGATCACAATCATGTTGACATTCGGAAGGGATTTACTGATGTCAAAACTTCGACATTCATTAGTGAAAAATTTTTCTCTAATGTATATTTAATTTTTAACTTTATTTTTAGAGCTAATACGAAAAAATGGTTAGTCGTAAAATAAAATTATTAATACCAAAAGAACGTGGTGAAATAATTCCAATAGTTTTTGTCTTAGCTCTTATTACTATATATGTTACATTTGAATTATATGTTATCTTACCAGCTATTTATAATAATATATTTACTTATAAAGAAGTTTGTCATCTTATATTTGGTCTTTATATTATTTATAATTTAGTTGGAAACTTATTTATATGTATGGCAACTGATACATCTATAGATACAATTATATGTCCTGTTTTATTACCACCACCAACTGTTACAACAACAAACACTCAACAGGATATGATTTTTCAATATTGTAATTGGCATTATTGTTATCAATGTGAAGTTAATGTTCCACCACGTTCTCAACATTGTCATTTATGTAAAAAATGTATTTTAAAACGTGATCATCATTGTTCATTTCTTGGTCGATGTATTGGTTTTAGAAATATTCGTTATTATATGTGTTTTCTTATTTGGACATGGGTAAAATTAATAGATTATATAAAATAAAATAGAATTTTTTGGTTTTTTTTTATTTAAGATTGGTTTATTCTATTGTAATATTCTTCATGTAGACTATACTTATGAACTTGTTGGAACATTTTCATGGCGTGTTATTGTTGGTAAGTTGAATTGCGTATTTATTATATATTTTATTATGTAAAAAGATGAGCTAAAAATAAGATTAGACTAAAGTGCTCACAAAGAGAAGAGAAGAAAAGAAAAGAAAAGAAAAGCAAATTATATGTCATTCTGGTTGACAAGGATGTAACCTATTTATGGATGACTTATATATTTTCTCATGTAGAAGAAATCATGAGAGTTTCTCATAACAACATTCCAGACAACAGATGGAAATATTTTCTAGTTTTCATAGATGTTTTTAACATAATAATATTTATCAATTGATATTTGATTGTCTATTATAGCATGTCTTTTTCCATTCGGTGCATGGTTATTTCGTCTTCTTGATCATTTTTCTCTTTTTCTTTCATTTATTTGTTCAACATCAATTGTTCTGAGTCTTTATATATTATTTTTAATTATTCAACAAATATATCTTATTATTAATGGACAAACATGGCATGAATATGGCAAAAATATTCAAATATATAGTAATCAAAAAAATTTACAAGCAAATTTAGAAATTATTTTTGGTAAACGATGGTTTTTTATATTATTTTCACCGTTAATATCATCACCACTAATTGGTGATGGAATGTCATTTGATATAAAAATGACTGAAACGGCTGATGCACGATATTTTCAAACAAAACGAATTTAACTTTTTCTTTTTTTGCTATTGTTGTGTTTACTCATTATGTGTGATAGCTTTCTGTTCGTTGTTTTTTTTGCTGATTATTGTTAAGTCAAAGATCAAATGAACAAAAACAAAATGGCTTTTTTTTTCAGATGTTTCTTCCTACTTCACAACGTATTACTAGTACTGATGGTAGTGATTATCCACATCGGGAATCTATTGCTGCACATTATCGTGCTAGTGCAGAAGCAAAATCTCGCCTTCGTATATTAATTTATTTTCATTTTCTACTTGCTTTTCTTGTTTTTTTTCATATTCTAACACATCATATACCTCAAATATTAACACTAAATGTACCACGTCCACATTTATGGCAATATATATGGCTCAATAGTGTTTTAGCATCAATATGTGGTCTATTATCACTAAATAAAAATCGTCTTTTTTTAATGAAAATCTTTTTTCATGGTACAATTCTATTTGGTTTAGGTACAATAGTGATAACAATTATACTTAATTTAAGAGAATTATTTATATTTAAAAAATTAAAAACTAATCATAAATTAGATGAAATTGAACCACAAACACTTCTTGGTTTTCCATTATTAGTACTATGGTATATATTTTTAGTAATAACTGTGCAAATTCATGCATTTAGTTTATATATGGCAAATGTTTTATTATATAGTTGGCAACAACATAAAAGTACGAAATATTACTAGTCACAATTTCGAATCTTTTTTAGTCATTAATTATATAGAGAAAAAAAAACAAAATGATAAAGACAATGAATCCCATGTGTGTGTGCAATCCTTTTTTTGTTTGTTTGTATTGTTTGGGTTTTAATCTCATTTATTAATAAACGATAAGTTTTATCATCTGAGAAAAAAATAATAAACAAAAAGAAAAAGAAAACGAAGAAATATTTATATATTTCAGACTAAATGTTGTTTGTTTTATTTTTGCTTATCTTTCAATCTTGTTATTCATTAATTGATAAAAATAATGAACAATGTACAAAAGATTCTTGTTCATCTTTAACATCTACATATTATTTTTTGTATGATGTTAATCATGGAGAAGGTTTTAATTTACGTCGAGATGTTTATATAAGAATAGCTAATCTTATACATACACTTCGTGAACGTACATCATTAGAATCGAATTGGATTCTTGTTCTTCCACCGTGGGGTCCACTTTATCATTGGTTTACTTATAATCTTCCACGATCTCAATTAAAATGGTCAAATTTTTTTGATATAACAAGTCTTTCACGTTTTATACCTGTTATTGAATTTGAAGATTTTCTTCATTTATCAACATCAACTTCTATGATAACTATTCCATATGTTTATACATTACAACATTTTAGTGAAGGATGGGGAGAACATTTTGAAGAAAAATTAGAAATACGTAAATGTAATGAAGAAGCTATGTATAAAAAAAGAAATGATAATTATTATTATGGATGGTTTTTTGGTTATGAAGATCGTGTACGTGCTAAACAATTTCAATGTCTATCAGCTCAAGGTTTTATTACTATACTTGTAGATTATTTACTTAAAAATATAACATGGCCACAAGATACGGATGACAAATATTTAATAAAAAGTATTATGTTTGATCGAGCTGAAACATTATTACATGTGGATTATGGTGGTTATAATTATTGGCGAGCACGACGTAGTATGAGATATGCAACACGCTTAATAGATCTTGGTGAGAATTTTGTTATGTAATTTTTTGCGGAACTCACATATATTTTCGAAGAAAATAGTGAGTGTAACTTCTAAGTCGAAGTTTTGTGGCTTTCATTACAGACCTTAGCAATCGGGTTGGTCATTAATGATGTTTCCATAGTAATCGAAAACAATAAGACTTAGAATGTTCTAGAATATTTCAAAGCCTTCCTCGAAATTCTAATGGCTCGAATACGTTTTTTTTGAATGATATAAATAGTGGAGTTTTAGGGTTTTAGACAGATAAAAATTTATATTTAAGATGTCAAGAATGGCGTTTGGTGATTCATTGATTTGCCACAATCGTCATATGATCAACATAAAAAAAACGTGCAGTGATCAAGTTATAACTTTGGAAAATAATTAATATCACTGTTAGTGAGCTGATAGAGATGTATAATAGTACGTTAAGACCTGATGTAGATATAATGGATATGTACAACAGGCTTATTTACCAGTTGAATCAATAGTTAGAATAATAGTAATAATGTTAAATTAAGAAAGATGGATTACGAAAAAGAAAATTAACGAGCGAGCAGCAACAAGACAAACACGAAATATAGCGTTAGTGAAGAGAATTTAGTTCGAAGTGCAGAAATAAATAAGACGGATCGTTTTTTTCTGGCGATCAATTATCTTGGACAACAACTATAGTCTGCGAGAAATTTTTTACTTTATGTATTTTCTATTAGTATACTGAGGCTAAAACATACGTGTAAGTTTCACATTTCAGCTCCCCCAAAGGAACTGCACTAACAAGCTTTTTCTCTTTTGAAAGACATGGAAGGTTTTGTAAAACATGATCGAAAATGAGTGTTGAAGTATATAGCATAGACCATGACAGACGTTGTTGATATACGATCAAAGACTGAATATCAATAGCATCTCATTATAAAGTATGAAATAGCTTTTTATTGCATTTGTGAAGGATTCAATAAAAGGAAGCTAAAGAAATATACTCTAAAATAGATAGAATAAGACAATCTCTCTGTGACTAGCAAGAGCAGCTTCATCATATTTCATATTTTAATCTCGCATGGATAACTCTCTAAAAGCTTTTTCAATATTGATTATTCTTTTTCAGGTAATCGTTTTCGTGCTGATTATTTAAATTCGACGGATGTACACGATCGTACGATACTTATTGATGATTGGACTAAAATGAAACGTCATCATGGTCAAGCAATTGGTGGTCCTTATCTCGGTATTCATCTTCGTCGTCTTGATTATGTTAAAGCACGACCAGGACATGTTCCATCTCTTGAACATGCTGCTCGACAAATATGTTATCATTTAAATCGTTTAAATCTTTCACTTGTTTTTATTGCAACAGATACTGATGAAAATGAAATTAATATACTTCGACAACATGCTTATCAAATATGTAAAATATCAATCAATCAGATATATACTTATAGACCAAATGAAACAATTTTAGAGAAAATTTTAGATGGTGGTAAAGCCATTGTTGATCAATGGATATGTGCACATGCACGTTATTTTATTGGTAGTTATGAATCAACATTTAGTTTTCGAATACAAGAAGATAGAGAAATATTTGGTTTTGAAAAAGATACAACTTTTAATCGTTTATGTGGCGATAATGAAGGTATTTCATGTGAAAAATCAACTATATGGTCGATTGTTTATTAAAAATTTATTATTCTATTTTCTCAATATTTTGTTCTGATAGTTGGTTTTGTTTTTCTTCTATGTTTTTATGTATATATGTGAAATCTCATTTTGACAGATAATTTTTGTTTATTGTCAATCAATTACCGAAATGAAAAAAAAAAAGAATTATAAATAAGACTTTCAAATACAACTACTAGTGTGCACAACTACTACACTGATAAAATGAGGAAGGAACGAACGAACGAAAAGTATTATAGAGTATTTAATGACGTGGATGGTATGCACAATGACACATTTCTGTTTTGCGTTATAAAAACAAACGTGTTTTTTTACCAAAGGTTGATGCAAAAATATATATATAAATACACATGTTTACATGATTCAGATTCTTTTTCTTTGTAGATTTTCTCTAAGCCTAAACATGGAATTATTCTCATTTGTATTTACATCCTTTGACATAGCTACTTCTATAGTTTTATTAATAATAACACTTATTGGAGTTTATTGGTTTTGGCTTAAACCACGTGTATCTTCTCTCTCTAAATCAAACGACGTAAAAGACACATTACGAAATTTTAAAATGTGAGTTTGAATAGGTTTTGTTTTTGGAGGAGGAATTTAATTATTTACATTTAATAGAGAAAATGGAGTTGGCAAAGCAACAGGAACAACTCATGAGGGTAGTTTTGTGGATCGTATGTTACATTCTAAGAAACAAATGGTTGTATTTTATGGTTCACAAACGGGTACAGCAGAAGATTTTGCTCAACGTATTGCTAAACAAGCTAAACGTTATGGAATATCTGCAGCTGTTTGTGATCCAGAAGAATGTGACATGGTTTGTAATTTGAAATTTTTTCATGTGTAATTCTTCGTATGACTTTTGTTTTTTTATATAATTAGGAAGAATTACAACGTTTGACAACTATTGATAAGCATTTAGCTTTATTTTGTTTGGCAACATATGGTGAAGGTGATCCAACAGATAATGCTCAAGAATTTTATGAATGGTTGCGTGAAGATGGACGAGATTTGAACAATTTACATTATGCTGTAATATTTATTTATATTAGAAATATACAAAAAAAAAATTATTTTGTTTTGTTTTGATTTTTTTTAAAGGTATTTGGTCTTGGTAATAAAACATATGAACATTATAATGCTGTAGGAAAATATGTTGATAAACGTTTGACTGAATTGGGTGGTGTTCGTGTATGTGAATTAGGTCTAGGCGATGATGACGGAAAGTATGTATGAGAAATTTATATTAAATTTGTATTTCTTTTTTGTTTATAGTATTGAAGATGATTTCATGGCATGGGCAACTATATTCTGGCAAAATGTTTGTGAAAAATATGAACTTGTTATAGATGCTGAAGGAAGCTCGTATGTTTTCTTTTCGTTTTTGTTTTGTTTATTTTGATATTTATGTATGTATATATGTTTTTATTAGAATGAAACAATATAAACTTGTTGATGGACCATTTTCATCTGAAACTGTTTTTACTGGTGAAATAGGTCGATTGAAATCTTATGAGAAACAAAAACCGTATGTTTATTTTAAAACAAAAATAAAAGAAAATTATTTTATTTTTTAATAGACCATTTGATATTCGTAATCCATATTTAGCACCAGTTATTGCTAGTCGTGAATTATTTCAAAAAGATTGTGCTCGTTCTTGTTTACATCTAGAATTGGATATATCAAATACACGTATAAAGTACAAGATATATAATATGTTTATCTTTTTTGAGATTAACATCAAAGTGAATTTTGTTTTTTTTTTTAAATTAGATATGAAGCCGGTGATCATGTTGCTGTATTTCCATCAAATGATGAAATTTTAGTTAATCGTATTGGTGAATTACTTAATGTTAATCTTGATGAAGTTATTTCACTTGTTAATGTAGATGGCAAGTATTCACTACTATTGTTTTTTCTTTTTTTTTTTTCAATAAGAATTTCTCTATTTTCTTTTTATAGAGGATGCCCAAAAGAAAAATCCATTTCCATGTCCATGCAGTTATCGTACAGCATTAACGTATTATTTAGATTTAACAAGTATGCCAAATACACAAATACTTAAAGAAATAGCACAATATGCAACAGATGAAAATGAAAAAGCTCTATTAACATTAATGGGTTCATATAGTGAAGAAGGAAAAGTAACAAACAAACGTTTCTTCTTAATAATTTTTCTTTTCTATATACATATTAATTTAATTAGATTAAATATAAAGAATGGATACTTGATAGTTATCGTTCAATCGTTGCTATTCTTGAAGATTTATCATCATTAAAACCACCACTTGATCATCTTTGTGAATTATTACCACGTTTACATCCACGTTATTATTCAATATCATCATCACCAAAAGTTCATCCAACAAGTGTTCATATAACAGCTATTATTGTTCATTTTGAAACACCAACAAAACGTATTGCAAAAGGTGTTGCAACAAATTGTTTCAAAGAATTCCATATGAAACATCAAGCATTAAGTTATACAGTACATAATGAAGAAAATCATTGTCATATACCTGATCGTTTTCCAATTTATATACGTAAATCAACATTTCGTTTACCATTTAAATTTCAAATACCAATTATTATGATTGGTATGAAATTAAATATTTTTTTTTTTAAATTAATTAATATTTTTTGGTTTTTATTTTGTATAAATTTTCTATAGGTCCTGGAACTGGTTTAGCACCATTTCGTGGATTTATACAAGAACGTAATCATTTTAAAACTCAAGGTAAACCAGTTGGTGAAACAATTCTTTATTATGGTTGTCGAAATCGAACTGAAGATTATTTATATGAAGAAGAATTAAATTATTTTGTTAATGAAAAAATACTTGAATTACATGTTGCTTTTTCACGTGATCAAGAAGAAAAAATTTATGTAACACATCTATTAAAAGGTCATGGACAAAGAATATGGAAATTAATTAAAGAAGATAGTGCTTCATTATATGTTTGTGGGTAAGAAAAATTTTTATATTAATTGAAATTTATTTATTAAATTAAATTAAATTAAATTTATTTAGTGATGCTAAAAATATGGCTAGAGATGTGCATTCTATTTTAATAGATATTGCTCAAGCACATGGTAATATGACATCAGAACAAGCAGGTACATTCGTTAAAGAGCTTACACAAAAAGGACGATATTCACAAGATGTTTGGAGTTAAATGATATTGTCATTGATAAATTCGATTTAATGAATATGCACTCGTGATAATTCAGCAGACTTATTTTTTTAAGTGATGGCGTGTGTATCTGATTCCGTTTTCTATCTATTCTGTTTGCTTTTGCTTCTAAAATATTTGTTTAAAAAAATTCAGATTAAAAAAAAAAAATGTCATGCCTATTTAATTCATGAAATTTTTTAACAGATTATTATTTTTTTTTGAATATAATGAATTCAATAAATGACAGATAGAAGATCGAAATAAGATGAAATAAATCAATGATGACTTTCTTGTTAACTTCGATACATAGTCGAAGCAAATAGAGCAGTACCAAGAAGAATACCACTTGCAATAGAAATTTGACATTTAGAAACAAGTTTTGTCCATGAAGCAAAACACATCATAAGACCAACACTTGATGTTAATGAAAGAAAACTAAATACTTGATCACTTATAGCAACTCCATATCTTAAAAATATAAATATAAATATTATTAATAATTATTAAAGAAATATAAATATTAGCTAACCGACACCAATGAGCAAAATGTTCACAATTATTCAACATTAAATCATAACCAACAAATCCGAGTGCACTATGAGCTCGTTGAACAATTTCATCTCTAGGCAATGGATGAAATATACAATCTTTACTATTATTTACATAAGCAATTGATGATGAAAGAAGACCATTAAAATCACATATTTCAATTTGCATTTGTTCAATCCAATGTCCAGATAATATTCGCCAGATTGTTTGAAAGATCTATATATATGTATATGCACTAGATTTGTGAATAATGAATGAAGTTTTTCAACCTGAAAATTAGCAAAAACATTGGATGGTCCTGGTAAATGAGCAATTTGATTATTGCCAAGATAAACAGCCCAATGTGAAAAAGGTCCTCGAACATATTCAATAAGATCACCAGATACAAGTAAATGACGTTTATCATTTGTATCACAACGTTGCAATTTATATGGTCGATTAACAATACCTAATATCCAATTGTTATTATTCATTTTCCTGGTTTCTTTTTTTTTTTTTTGTTTCTGATTTTTATCTTTCAAGCGCCATAAATTAAAATAAAAAAGAAAGAAAAATTCATATGCATACGAGCAAAGGTTTATTAAAGAAGAAGAGAAGAATTAGAGCACATATACTTAGCACCAAAAAATCAGCTTATGAAAGAAGAGAAAAAAAAGAAATACGAAATAAAAAAATTCTATGTGTGTGTCTATGTTGCTTGATGAATTTCTTTTTAGTTTAGAAGCATTTACGATGAACAATTGATGGGCCAGCTTCATCATATTCTTGTTTTGAAATCCACATTTGTTGAAAGGTTGAAAGTGAAGCTAAGATTGAACCACCAATCCATACTGAATATTTACGTTCAGGTGGAGCGATGATCTTAATCTTCATGGTTGATGGAGCCAAAGCAGTAATTTCTTTTTGCATACGGTCAGCAATACCAGGATACATTGAGGTACCTAAACAAAAATTATAGAATATTTTTTTTAAAAATAAAATCAAATACAAATGGTAAATATAAGTTTTACCTCCTGATAAGACGGTGTTAGCATATAAATCTTTACGGATATCAATATCGCATTTCATGATCGAGTTGAATGTCGTTTCATGAATACCAGCAACTTCCATACCCTAGATTATAGATAGAAAAAAAAATATATAAGTAGAAAAGATATTATTTTAAGAAAAAAAAAATGCATACCAAAAATGATGGTTGAAAGAGTGATTCCGGGCAACGGAAACGTTCATTACCAATGGTAATAACTTGACCATCAGGTAATTCGTAACTCTTTTCGAGTGATGATGTTGATGCAGCTGTTGCCATTTCTTGTTCAAAATCAAGTGCAACATAGCATAATTTTTCTTTGATGTCACGAACAATTTCACGTTCAGCGGTTGTGACAAATGAATAACCACGTTCAGTAAGAATCTTCATTAAATAATCTGTCAAATCACGACCAGCTAAATCAAGACGAAGGATAGCATGAGGAAGAGCATAACCTACAAAATAGAAATAAATTATAGACAATTATATGAATATGTTTGTTTTTTTTTTTACCTTCATAGATTGGTACGTCGTGTGTGACACCATCACCTGAGTCAAGAACAATACCAGTGGTACGACCGCTAGCATAGAGAGAAAGTACAGCTTGGATGGCCACATACATAGCTGTAAACCAAAACAATTTAAATATTTTATTATTTAGTATTATAGATGAAACTCACCAGGTGAGTTAAATGTTTCAAACATGATTTGTGTCATTTTTTCACGGTTAGCCTTTGGATTAAGTGGAGCTTCGGTTAAAAGAACTGGATGTTCTTCAGGTGCAACACGAAGTTCATTGTAAAATGTGTGATGCCAGATTTTTTCAATATCATCCCAGTTAGTAATAATACCATGCTCAATTGGGTATTTAAGTGTTAAAATACCACGTTTTGATTGAGCTTCATCTCCAACATATGAATCTTTTTGACCCATACCAACCATAACGGCTTGATGACGAGGTCGACCAACAACCGATGGAAATACTGATCGAGGAGCATCATCACCAGCAAAGCCAGCTTTACACATACCTGTATATAAAAAATAATTATTTCAAATTTCATATTCATATATTTCTTTTTTTTTTCTTACCCGATCCATTATCAATAACAATAGCTGCTACGTCTTCGTCACACATTTTTCTTCTTGATTCTTAGTACGAGTGGTAAATGTTGTTTATGATGCTACGGTGAATACGCCAGACACAAAAGCAAGCTTATGATGGATAAGACCGAAAGTTATATAGTAACTACTATTTTTCTCTTTTTTTCTCGCCCATTCTTGTATGCCGTATAAGGATATACATAATAGTATATTTGGTAATATCTGCGGTTTTTCTATACAGGAAAAGAACGACGAGAATTTCCTTATATGGATATGTGTAGTAGTACCGTAATGGGAGAGAGCACCACAGTTGTATGTATATCTACACATATGTATACATAATGCGGTGAACTACACAAACGTGTGTGTCGCTGTTCGCCTCGACGTATACTTATTATCATGATGCTATTATGGATTGTTCTTCTTCCACTTCTTCTCCTTCTCTTTTTTTGTCGATGCATATGTGTACTATTGAAAAAACAAGCGAATAAAGATGATCAAATCGGCAGAAATAGCAACATAAAAAAAAAGAGAGTAGTATATGCCTGTATAGATTATATAAGAGGAATTACAATAATATATCTTAACTTCTATCTGACACTGACCTATATACAACCCTAATGGTTTAGGCACTAGATTCTTATAAAAACAAAATTTTTCTTGCTAATTAACAGTCTCAATAAGCCAGATACGGAACTTATAAATAAATGATGTGACACTTTAGTTTTTGAGGGTTGTTGTTAAAAATAGTTTCTACTAAATGGTTTTAGTATTATATTGCTACACAATATTTTAATGCAAAATTTTCATCCTGACGATAAAAATAAATAAATTGTAATATCTTTGTATTTTAATTTATCTAAATGCAAAGATAAAGTCTAATAGATTGAATGAATATTTAGCTTAAGAAACTATTTCAAGATTGATAAATAATTTAAGAAATATTTCAAAGTTTTTTTTCCACATATAAGAAAGGAATATTGCGTGAATAGAATTTATTTACGTATCTATGTTTTTATTTCTTTGTAAGCTTTGTATGCTCGTCATTGTTTTTCTGCTTATTGTCGTTATCATAGTGCGTAATCATTATTTGTTTACATCCGGCATAATAAATGGAAGTATTAAGTAATGAGATCTATAGTTTTTATTTTAGAAGATTTCTTTTATCCATCGAGACTTTCAGTAAGGTGCCAGCAATTCGAAATTTGAGCAATATTTATTTGGTGTTTTGTTTTGTCATAGATGGATAGAACTTGTCAAGAAACCTCTAAAAATGTGTTTTTTTTTGACATATTCGAACAATGTTTTTGTAACGAGACTTGGAAAAATTTGTTAAAAAAAAAAAATTAGAAGAATCTATAAAAATTAAAATACTTCAAAAGCATGAAATCTCGATAGTGTAAATATTTATTTCTGGATTTTACTCGTCATATGGTTTGGGAAAAATTTGCGTATGATTTTTGAAAAATATTAGTTTATTATTGGGAAAATTGATCTTTTCAATTGCATAACAAAATGCCATAAATAGGGTTTGTTTTCCGAGGTTTTTACCACCAGAACTTCAATTACAAATGAAATGAACATCATGAATAGAATCAGCAGAAAAATTTATATAGAATATTATACTCAATACTTTACAAAAGTTTTTTGTCGATTTCCAACCTTAAGGAAACTAAAGGTCAGATTAATTGAAAATAACAGTGATAGCATGTAAGACAGAAAATGTAGTTTTAAATGTTGAGTTTACTATTCGATACAGATTTTTCTGCTGATTCTAATCATGATGCTCGTTTCATTTGCAGTTCAAGTTCTGATGGTTAAGATTTCTGAATACAAACCTGTATTTATGACATCTTCTTATCACATCGAAAAGATCGATTTTCTCAACAATAAAATAATATTTTTCAAAAATTCTGCGTAAATCTTTATCAAAGGATATGACGAGTAAAATCAAAAAAAAATTCCAACAAATATTGAGGTTATCGAGACTTGATACTTTTGACATATTTTAATTTTTATAGGCTATTCTAATTTTTCTTTAACCCAATTATCCTAAGTTATACTACAAAAATATTGTTCGAATATGACAACAACAACAACAACAACAACTTTAGAAAATCATTCAACAAGCTCTATCTGATCAAGGCAAGAAAAAAGACGCCAAAAACAATTAACTTACATTTCGAATTGCGACATCTTATATCTGAGAATGCCATTAGAATTAATGGGGATGATCAGTCTGGCCGGATATCCCATTAATATTTTTCTTATTGTTAGGATATAGCACACTATTATCCGGGTCATATGAGAGAGGATGCCAGATAACCCTGGATTGATCCGAACAATACTATGTTTTATCTTTACAATGGTAAAGAAAAGCTACCAGGTCACACGATAAACAGGTAGCTTTTCTCTACTATTGTAAGGACAAAACATGGTATTGTTCGGGCCAATCCAAAGTTATCTGATATCCTCTCTTATATGACCCGAATAATAGTATGTTTTATCCTTACAATAAGAAAAATATTAATGGGGTATCCGGCCAGACTGATCATCTCCCTAATGATTTTCATTTATTCATTGAAGTTATATCTAATAAAAATAAATTATTTCTATGTTTTTCTTCCTTATTTTCATTCGAAACTATCATATCTATATACCAGTTTTGTTGGCTTAACTTTTCGATAATAATAAAGAATCCAACGTCCATTGAGATATTTTATGAACGATAAATCTAACTTTCATCGTATGTAATATTTATACCACAAGATGTGTTCAATATATCTATGGAATCTTTTTCACAGATTATTATCAATACAATTCATGTCATCAATATTGTTCGGTTCATCGATAAAAAACTTGTCCATGATCCTAAACAATCTATATTAGAACGCTATTTAACTTTTCCTTGTATAGTCATCTACCATATAGTAACTATGATATTAATGAAAGAAATATCATACATTGTAGAATGGCACTAAAATGAATGGATTTATTCATAAATATTCTACCATGATTAATAACTAGCAACAGACATGAATATGACAATATATATCAAATAGATGAACAAGGAAAAAGTTATAATCAACGTCGTTACTTATCGATTTTCTTCTTCTTCGGTTATTTTCAGTTTTGATGATAACAATAAATGTATACTTACGAATGATCCTCGTGATACAGTTGATCTTCGATGAGATAATTATTTATTATAAATGAATAAGTTTTTTTTCCTGTGTATATTCTCAGAATTCAATATTTGTATAGTTATTTCAGAAAGTAAGTGAAAAAAAATGTTGATGAATCGAACATCAGAGAAATAAAGAAAAAAACTATGTCAAATTGATATTTGTGACTTTGTACAATATGCGGAATGTTCAGTTTATTTGCTAATCTAATTATTATAGTTATATGTATTTGTTTAAATTGTTGGTTTCCAAGTAACAATAGGATGAAACGTAATGAATTATTTTAATGATGATCGTACATCAAAACTATCATCTTGTTCTCTTGTGATTCTATAAAAGCTCTGCTAAATTTTCATGAAACATTACTCGTAATGTCTTCATACGGCGAGAAGAAAACTTCTAACAAAACTAAAAGTTTAGTCCTACACCAAAAACAATATGCCTTGTAACATATGGAAAGATTTCACGCTAATCCAAGAATTCTATTAAGAACCCCTTATGATGGTAGGTCGTGACTTTAAATAGAATAACTGTTAAAGACTTTTGAGGCCTAATTAATTTAACGTATTTCATTTGCAGTCCATTCCCTTACGATAGTGCCTGTAGTTATACGTATCTAATATAGATTTTGAATCTTGAAATTCAACACAACTGAAGTTTTCTAGTGGAACGTAGTCTTTCAGTTAATGTGACAGATCATGCCAGGGATGTTAGTATGGGAAAGGAAAAGAAGAATTTCTCGTTTATTATTACTCGTTTCATTGTGATTCTTTACTTTACAAAAGTCTTTTGAAATTTGTAGATTCACTAGGACTTTTTGGCTATTTGAACCTAAAACCTCTGATTTTAGTGGCATATCTGAATTATCGAAATTATCAGATGAATAAAATTCAGTTGTATTCTTTTACATATATTGTTTTTTTTTGTCCGTATTCATATAATGTGACAGACATTTCGACATTATACTCTTATGATCATGATAATGACTTGAATATTTAACGTCATCTCAGTGAAATTGAAACGTAAAACATGATAGAGTAACTTCAATTGTAAATTTGTTCGTTTCAGATTCATCATGCACGTCTTTTTGGAGAATGCCGTCTTCAAATCAAGGTACTTTCATTACGTATCCAAGTGCACATACACACATATATGGACACAGTGATTGCAATATTTGCGTAACATATCGTACAAGCAGCTTAAATATTGATGAAATTCTATTTTCGATTGGATCATTCCATTCAAGTTGGAATGCGGAAAAAGGATGTAATACGCAATTTGTATTAATAATTAGCGGCGTTTATTATGTGACTGTTTATGGTATGTGTACTCCGAATGACAATATTAACATAAAAATTAGTTGGGATACTCTTAATGATGGCTTTTATCATCAGTTATGTGCCACAGACAATTGCAATGATGCAAAGTTATGCTTTTATCTTGACTTGCGAGAACCAAGTTGTCTAATTCGATAGAATCCTCGTTACAATACAGCTCTAAGTGATCTGTGTATTGGCTAGTGGTCAAGTCATAATCGTCAATTTGTTGCGAAGGATGATGGAATAATAAGATCAGTATCATTATTTGATAGAGAGATCTTGCAAAGCTTGGTTAACGGAGAATTCAATAAAAACTTATGAATGTATCCTGTGCTCAACTACAACCATTTTTCAAATATTTTCTTGACACTACTCGTTTGAATTTTGAAGATTTATGTTCACAAAGCTTCACTTTTACTTGCTAGATTTTGATTAAATATCGAAGAATATATAAAATGGACAGCTACAGTCCTGAAGAAAAGTAGCTTACTTCTCCACCTTCTGAACTATCATCGTTTTCTATCGTTCTGAACTGATACTTTCAGTGTGTGCGGACTTTAGAGAATCTTGATTACAAGAACAAACTTACCCTCAGTTAGTTGACATTCACTAGAGTCATTAGTTCAACATTATCAACAGACTGTGGAAGTAATATCTCAATCACTTTTCAACATTTATTTTGGCTGTGGATATGGACGTGTTTTGATATTCGACTACTTCTCAATAACGAATATACATCAAGGCATTGGTTCAGAATTATCAGCTTAATAATAATCATCTGATATGAATGGCATACACTGTAGACTATCTAACTATCTCTTATTCTCAAAAATCGATTCTTTTGTAAAAAAAAATGATTACTTTTAAACAAAATCTACTCTTTTCAAAAATTTGAATTTTTTTTGTATCGATAGTCAACTCCTTTGGCCGAAAATCCACTTTTTTTTTAGAGAAACGAAACCGAAAAATCATGTTGATTCTTAACGTACACACGTCAAAGTTTTCGATTATGCATTTATCTTATATTTTGTTTTTCTGACGAACTTCGAGGTTTTGAAACGAGGAGAGAATATTTAAGTCAGTAGTGGCATATTTCAATTGATAATTAAACGATTCTTAATTTATTTTTGAATATAAATTTCAACTGTTCTCCTTGAATATAGATGTTTATTATAGATTCATACAATTGGATTGACCCGACTAAACTCAAAGGCAAATTCGCTTTAAACTCGCGAAAAGTATGAAATCTTGCAAGAAAAGAAAAATTTACTGAGTGACCATCAATGCATGGCATTCTAGGGAACATCGCTACCATTTTTTAAAATGTCCAATTATAAATTTTTTTAAAACCTGGTCTTAAGCGTAATTTCTGGCAACGGTTGATGCCTGATCATACCATATATGGTTGATATGACTTGATACATTGGAATCTATCATTATCAAATATCTATTAGGCAGAATGTGATATCAGTAAAAAATCGTATTTTTCTTCATGAAAAGTGAGTCGATCGAAGATATTAAATATATGACTTTGTAACCAGTGAAAGACTCTACAAGATTGCTTATGGGAAATATCTCCTTATGTATTCCTTCGATTGATAGTGAGGTACATATTGATATGCAACTAATCGTGATTTTACATGTTAGCTTACTAATAGTAAATTAACTTTAATATACTCAAAATTTGACAAAAAGACAACTTCCTATATACCATACGATACAGCTTTCATTACTCTACAGGATGGTATAGTTGGTTGTTCCATTCGTCTATGGTCACTAAATCCGGCAGGGTTCTTGTCATAGTAACGCAAGATTTTATGAAAAAATATTTTATAAATTGAAAAATAACTAATATAAATACATAGATTGTTATTGCACTGAACTGATTCATATGTCTAATAGATAAAGATAAAAGAAAGTGCATGAATAATAAATTATTAATTCTAATGACTAATGTAGTTTGTGCGAAGATGAATATAATTTTTTATTCTACAATAATATTGCTATTATTTCTAGAAAAATCCAATAGAAACATAAAGAAAGAAGGAAAGAACCAAGTAATATGAATCATCGATAGCTAGAAATAAGTATAAAATACGCATGTACTTTTGATATTTCGTAGTCATTATCAAGTTTCAACAAAGACATTAGTGTAATGGAGAATCATATACCGACAATTATTTGGCTCGATTCAAATTCAATCGATACAGGCAATAGCTTTCTTTCAAAATTAAGAATTCATCAATATGTACAAACATTTACTGAAGTTCATCCATGCCTCTCTTATATCAATTCTCATTTAGAACAAGCAATTATTCTTATTGCTTCTGATTCATTTGCTTCACAAATCGTACCATTAATCTTTGATTCTCCTAATGTTCTTATAACATTCGTCTTTTATGCATCAATAAAAGCACATACCGATTGGACGATAAATTATTATGATAAATTAATGATGTTCGATCATGAAGATGATTTATTACAGAGATTATGGTTACAAGTTGAAGAATACCTACGTGAACAAGCGAAACAGTATCTTAAAAAAGCAGATGAACTCAAGGCACGTGCAAAACAATTCAAACAATCGTGTGGTTAAACAGTCAAGTTTTTACTCATATTTTACTTTTGATATGAAAAATTCAAAAATCAAAACAAGTCAGATATAATATTTCGGCAATCATCTAACATATATTTTAAATACACAATTTCTCAATAATCTAGAAGGATAATTTGTTATTTTCTACATTCAGATATTTTCAATAATTATCTTTACATATCAACACCATGTTACGATAATCGATTAAAAAAAAATCACATCTGTATCTTGTCTACCAATGCTTGAATATGAATTCAATTCTACTTATATTCTATAATGCAATCAGATCATTTCTGTTGTTTCACCATATTTCTTTTTTTTGAACAAGTAAACATATCAGTTTAATTCGATGTGTCAAGCAATTCATCGAATTCTTCATATACTCGACTTTTGTTTCTCAATTATTGTAATTATTTTATCAGTTTGGATGATTTTATTGACGATTATTTGACTTATATACATTGTTATTTATTTATGTATCTCTATGTATGATTTCATTATAGTGATGCGTAATCATCTAATAGAAGATCATTAGTTTCATAATTTTGGTTAACAAATTCATTTGAAAAATATAACATTCGAAGATGATCAGATATGTTTATAGGAAGATCAAACAACATTTGATGAGGGCTTATCTCATCACATTTGTATGCATGAAGCAAAATACAACACTATCATTGTGCAACCAATCATCCATTTGAAGTTTTTTTTTATTGATATCAATATGTAGAAAAATGCAAATACTTTTCAAAACAACTGATTTCATATGGTTTAATAGATTTAATGGCAAATGCCATTGGCATAGTCATATCTATAGTATTCCCAGTGTTCAACTCAATAGAAACAATCAAATTTGACAAAGAATATAAAAAAAAGTTCATTGATTTCTTGTAAAATTTGTATTAATCATGAAAGGTTTATTTTTTTGAATAAAGATTTCCGTTGTACTCATAAGAAAATTCTTATTATTTCTATTTTATTTGTAAACTATTGAACGTGTCCTTAGATGAAACAATGCAAGATTGACTTTAGTCTTTTTGAAAGAATTTATCAGCATCACAGCTTTCATTTTATTGTCTTATCTATGCGTTTATTTTCAAACAACAACAACATAAATGATAAGGTTGAAAAGCAGTAGAATATAAACAAGAGATTACTGAGTACCAAACTGCTGCAAAAAACATTGTTAGGTTTTCATCAAAAATCTCATTGATCACGTTTTCGACAGGTCACACCTATTATCATCAGAAATTACAATATAGAAGAAGATAAACTCTATTTTTATATATACAGTATATAATATGAGAAAAAACAAGTTAATTGATGGATGAAGGTTTGTAACGGGGCCATAGAATTAGTATAATATTATGTACCCTATGAAAATAGTATATATAATATCATATTAATTCTATAGATCCGCAAGATCTATACCCTGTAAAAATAAGGGATGCATAGAATATATAATGTCATATACATTCTTAGGTGAAAACATGTTATTTGAACAAGGTCGAATATGAGAAGCTGAAACTACTTTGATTATTATGAACGTGTTTTGTTACTTGTTGTGTTTGGTTGTGAGATGTTTTCCGCATGATGTCAGCAGTGTTCAGACTTCCTAGAAAGGGAATTTCAGAAATTTCGGAGATTTCAAGTATTTGTGTTCTGAGTTTTATGTTACTTCCTAAAATGATGTAATTTCAGAAATTTCCAATATGTCTAAAAACTTTTGATTTGCACTGCTATATAGTTATCGAGCTGATGGAAATTTCAGAAATGTGGGTAATTTCCTTTTTTGGAAATCTGAACATACCTCCAATTACATCCAGATCCACACCCACACCTAGATATTTATTAATGCTAGATTATGATCATTTTTATTCTACACTAATCTAATTCAAATAAATACAGAACTATAATATTTATTACGAAAAAAAGTTATTTAATAAAATGTTTGATAATTTTATTAATAAACATTCGACAACAAAGTATTTCATTTTTTCTTTGTTTTATCGTTTCACTGCAGGCTTGTTGTTCATCTGTCGCTTGAAAAACTAGATCCCAACTAAATATTAAAAAAAAAGATCATAGGTTTTTTAATTAAAAAAACTGAATATAATTTATTACTTATCATGTTTTGCGCATCTGTTAGATCGAAACATAAAATTTATACGGAACATATAAAATAAGATATTTAAAATTCTATTGGCGAATGCTTTGACAGAAACCTTTGGTCGCACTAATAAATAATTCTAGAAGAAATAAGAGAGATGCTTAAATTGACGAAGAATAATTTTATGAAATCATTTATTTAGTTCTGTCGGTTTTTCATCTTTGTTACATTTACAATAGACAAGAATAACTTTCATAATTATTTCTTTGTCTTCATATGAAGTTAAAATTTTTCTCAAACCTTCTCGTTTGAGATTTTTCACATGCTATGTAATATGTAGTGCGGATAAATCTTTGAATGCCATAAATATAAATAATCAACCTTCAATTATCTAGAAATAAATGAAATTAACAAAAGAAACAAATAGGGAACAATAATATGCAGCAAATCCATCGACCATCTTTTGATCTACTTTACATTTTTTTTGCCAAATTTTTTTCTGGTTTACCTTGATATTTTTCTATTAAAAAATAATATGAATACAGCTAATCGATTGAATATTTTTATCACTTACTTTGCCAAGTTCAATATCTTTTGAAATTTACTTTAATACAGAAGTACAATAGAGTATAGGAATTTTAAGAGAAGCTAACTTTAAACTTTGGATAACTACAGTGTAAATTGTTGATTTCATCAAGTTTCTTTTTATTAGATGTGATAAAATAAATCTTCTTTATTTCGATAAATAAAGATATCATAATGAAAATATGGAAAAATTAAAAGCATATTGCTTATTTCACAGAATCATTTTACAAATACATATATATATATATAACTAGCAATCAAGTTCAATGAGCGTCAATCGAATTCTGTCAATATTCAAGGAATCATTGAAGAATTATATCTTACATAAACTAATGGGATAAGAAGTACAGTATGTTGTTCGCACAGGTGATACCAAGGATTAATGAAAACGAGACAATGGCATAATTTATGTCGGAGAAATAGAAAGAATAGAGAAAAACGCTCTTCAGTTTGCTTTGACTTTTTGGTTCCGTTAATAATGTCCTATACAGAAATGAATGCAAAACAAATATTGATAGCTAACATATGTTACAACAATTTTTTTTTTTTATTGAAATAGACAAAAAATAATTAGTTGTATTCAATTGTATGATATATTTATCAAGAAAAGTCAACCACAGAAAAAAATATTTTTGAAAGTTAAACAGCATAAATAAGTCTTGTAGAATAAAATCGAAAGAATCACCTATAAAAATATCTAATTTGGAGGCATGCAATAATCACAGCTGGACCGTTGACTCCTATTGTCGATAAGTGGGAACGGTATTATTTCGTTTATTTGATTTTCATGATGGAGGTCGTTACTTAGTGGTGAGAATGTTTAACAGAAAGCCCACCTGCTGATAGGTCTCTATGTACATCAAACATATTGATTCATTTATATAAAAATGTCATCATGCTATGCTTGTTACCGTTCATCACCATCAATACGTTGTCTTATGTGTCAAAAGTATTTTTGTTTAACATGTTCAGGTGTTCATCGTCACAATCATCTTCTTGATGCACTAGAAGAACGTTTAACATCTCAAATTAATTCATTACAAATACAATTCGATGAAAATTTCTCTCGACAATATCGTCAAGCTACTGATCATTTACAAACATGGATTACTGATATTCATCGTCAATTTGAAAAAACAATTCAATATCAACTTGAAAAATTACTTAAAATACAATATGAATTATTAAAAATGAAAACTGATGAGTATATTCAAGAATATGTACAATATTTTATAAATCTTCGTTCAAATGTACGTTATGCTAAACAACGACAAACTGAATGTAATTATGATCACGAATTATTACGTTTAATTAGTATTGAAAAAGAACTTCTTAAACGGTATGATGAACATTTTCTTGATTTTCGATTAGATACTCATTCAATTGACTTTACAAAATATATAAATATCGAAAAAAAATTTCATGAATCACCTATTCCATTATCATTAGAATATAATTACCAATTATATCAACCATTACAAACTCTTAATCTTCAATCATCTGTTCAACATATAGCTAGTTCATGTCTTGATTTATTTATTTTTATATCTGAACCATCACCTATTTATCCATGTCTTCATGAATATTCAACTTCTTCAATTTCATCAAAAATTTCTCTTGAATTTTCAATTGATTTTCCTCGAAATATTCAAATAATTGATATGCGTTGGTCAATACAATTTAATTGTCTTTTTTTACTTACATCTATATTTTTACATAAATATGATAAATATGAAAAAAAGATTCAAGCAAATATAATTGAATTATCTGATCAAACAAATAAATGGCATCGTTTAACAACAAATCGTTTGGGAATTTATATTCTAAATGAAAGCAATTCTATTGAATTTTATAATACAAAATTTTTACAAACTGCTATTTTTTATATGAAAGAACTTCTTGGAGATATATGCCTTGTTTATGATCTTCAAGGTCAAGCTGATTGTTTATGTACATTAACATATACAAAAGAAAATAATTGGCAAATTGATTTATTTTCAAGTAGACAATTAAAATTAAAACGAACATTAAAACTTTCTGAAACACTTCGACCACCATTAAAATTAATAAATGCTAATCGAAGAAATACATGGATTATAATTGATAGTGAAAATCATCGTTTAATTATATTTGATGATCAAATGAAAAATATTGAACATTTTTCTTTAAATTCAACACCAAATTGTGTAACAATTCTCGATGATAAAACAGTAGTTATAGCTAGTCCAGATATACCAGGTGCAAAAATTTCATTTTATTCTCCTAATACTGTTTTACAAAATTAATCTCAAACTATAAAATAAATTTCTATTGAGTATCTGATTCAAAAAAATCATTGTCTATGTTCATTTTTAATATAATTTTGTTGTTTTATAGTCAATTCTCGACGTTTATCCCATTGTTGAAATTGTTCGTTTGTTCCATAACCAGCAAGAAATCCATTCAATTTAGTAATCATTTGTTTATCTTTATTTATCCATTCCTCTTTTTTACCGAATATATCAGTTTCCATTATTGTCCATTTTAAATTATATTTTTGATGATATTCTTCTGCTTCATAAAATTTATTAAATCTATCCACACGTACATTCTCTATGTTCATTTCATTTACTTCTCGTTGTTGTTGTTCATTATGAAAGAAAATTGCCGCTGCATATTGGCTACGTGTCGTCGAAGTATTTGGAGTATGCCATTGATTAAAATAAGTAAGTAATTGAGTAAAAGATATACGTGTTGAATCAAAATCAATTTGTACACTTTCCGTGTAATCACCAATCGTTCGATAGGTAGGTGTTGTCGGATGTGTACCACCACAATAACCAACTCGAGTTACTAAAACACCATCTAATACTCCGAATCGAGCATCGGGATCCCAAAAACAACCAAGAGAAAATGTTGCTGTTTCTACCATTGATTTGTTAAAGTTTAATATGAAAATCTGAAAATGAACAAAAAAAGAAAAATTATCTTATATTGTAGCATTTATAAATCCATGTTGAAAACTCTTGATGTTGCTATATTCTGTAATGCAAATTATATGTTATTCTCTGAAACAAAGTCTCATTAGGACATGTTTTGTGCGAGAGTAGGCACAAGGCGTTTTGTGTCTCACAGCTTCCAGTCTGTTATTTTGTAAAAAAATATGCTTTCTTGTATATTCAATGAGTTTTTCTAATTTTTGTAATGTACGATTCAAACAATAATCTTAGTGAATCTATAAATATAAATAAAAAAAAGTTTAGAGTAGTTACTTGCAATCAATAGGAACATGTTTATTGTTCGTATGAACATAAATAAAATGTTTTCCATCACTTAATTCTTTTTATTATTGCTACTTTTATTAACCATAATGCCGATACGATCGTATGTATAGTATTATTGCACAAGAACCATTTTGTATTCTTTGTTTTTATTGCTCTTCTCATCTGATAAAAACTAAGTCTCTCTCGTTTTTTATGCATATTTGAATGAATTGAGAAACGACAAGTAAAAACTTGCCATTCTCTTTGTTTTCAGTATTCTAAGAAAATCATACGTACTCTTCTTTTTTGTTGTTGAAGTCATGCAGTATATCACTCTACTTTTCGCAGTCTATTTCTTAGCTCACTAAAAAAACCTATCATTCTAAACACAACAAATGTAATAATGGTTTGACCTTCAGAAAATGATAACGATATATAATAAAGCATTACAATGACGTTCATGCAACTGTCGTTTTAAACGAAAGCATCGAACATTATAGAAATCAAATATGCGAAACAGATAAAATGAAAACAAAAAATATGCAATCGGTACCAGTATTAAAACCTTACCAAGAAAAGCTAACGTTGTCTACGTAATGGAAATGTAAGGCGTCAAAAAAAAAACGAGAGATATCATTACAATAGCCAATAAAGTTAGCTGAGAAATGTTAAACCGATCATGAAAAATGATTAATTGCTGAATACATATGCAGTGTTAAATCATAGACTTGATGAAGAACGTTTCATCACACATGATCAATCAGTCGCGAATTTAGAGAACAGGCAATCCAAGGTAATCGCTCCTCTCTGACGAACTATTTTTCGATTATTTTCAGTCAAAACTGCCCAAAAATGAGTCGATACGATCTCTAATGGACTTCAAAATGCGTTTTGTGACCATGATCGTCTCCTACATTAATCAAGATCCTAGATCCATCACTGCGATCAATCTATTAAAACCCAATTTATGTTTAAATGAAATATGTTTTTTTGTTACATGTATTGTCGTCAATACTGCGATTACTATACTAATAGCACTATGGCAAAAGATTAAGAGATAAACCAAGCTGGATGTGCTTAACAATGACTACGACCCTGGTCGAATGATACAGTATATAGACAGTCACACATGGTCGTATACGGATCTTTTATGCACTGTATTTTACCGTAAACTAGGCCAGTATCTTACTACTGTGCTTAATAAAAATATGACGCAAAGACGAAGCCGTATTATAGCGACAGCATTACGACAAAAAAAGCTTGATTCCGTACCGTATCTCAAACAGTTGTATACGATGAAGTTATTAAAAAAAAGTGAATAGCTGTAACTATTCTCGCAATGGATTAAAGTCGATGACGAAACATAGAGCTAAATAAGATTGAAATGTAAAGAAATTATATACCAATAACAACGAAGTACTCCATATATTTCAAGAGGAAATTTTGACTGCAATAGCTCCACTAATTAGTATTTTTCTAGCAATCTTTGAGATAACATCCCGAAGAATAAATTAACAGACATGATACTTGCCAAATATATCGATGTAAAATAGAATGATGTATATCTATCTCAAGATAAAATAAACCTTGGAATGATAATACTCAGTTCAAACATTTTTATTCTTTTTTTGATAATATATGTTGATCCAGATGAGTTAGAATGTTATTTTTTTTAATAGCATCGGGTATAGATATCTAAAAAAATATTAGAGGGATTGTAAAGAATATGTGTGAAATTCGTTTTTATTCTCAAGGAACTGTATATTTAGTGAACCGACTAACAAAAAAAAAAGGTATTTCTGCAAACCAAATACAGTTGCCCAACTACAGTCAGCATTACTTCCTGCTGTATAGTTGACTGAGTGCCTCTCATCTGAAAAACGATTGTCATTAAAAGTAAAGTACTGATTTTGATAATAAAATTTTTTTCTTCATCTATAGATGATACACATGAGAAATTAGTTGAGAACAAAGTACGATGTGTATTAATAAGTAATGTTGTTCTTTGCTCAGCGTATTTCTGATGAACTATTTTCACTTTGTATTCGATCCTCAAGATTGTGAAATTGGTGGAAAGGAAACAATTATGTATTGTAATGAATTTCAAGTTGTCTTTCAGAAACTATCCGTACCTCATACAGTTCAATCGTTACTGACTTTGCTACTTTATGTCACGATATGATTTCAGAACTTGTTTCAACTCTAGGAAAACAATCAAGGAAAGTAAATAAAAAAGAAGTAATTAATTTGAATTTTATGATTGATATTTTTTCTATCTTTGAATTATTTGTAAAAGTGATATAGCTTTTGTGTCTCATTTCTGAAACATTTTTTCGAACTTGAACTACATGCTTTTTTTTGAACAAAAAAAAAACAACAAAATACACAAGTGGCAAAATGACATAAAATATCTAATGCATAACTTTAAAGAACTTCTCGTTTCAATGACATAGGTGCTCGACTATCACCTCGACGATATCGTAAATCGATATCTTTATCACGTGGTTTTACTGTTCGATCAACTCGTCTTAATAATCCAACTAATTGAGCATCAGCTTCTAATAATGATATATGTCTTGATGCACCTAAAAATCTTGCTGCCATTTCCCATGATTGTAAACGTATGGAAACAACTGCACCAATTGTATATTGATCTCGTTGTTTATTTTGTGGTCGTTGTACAACAGCATTAAATTTTCCACCAAAATCAACATATAAATCATCATCAATAACATCAACAATACGTCCACTTAATAAACGTCCTTTTAAACTACCTAATTGAACAAATTTTGATTGACGAAACATTTTTGCAAATGTCATTGACTTAGATTGATTATTTGAAGATGAATTTTTTTGAATTATTGAAGATGTAGATTGATCATTTGATGGAATATTAGTACGCACATATTCTTCATCAATAAATGTATTAGCTAAACGTGATGGAATATATGTTGATGATGATGATGATGAAATAAGAGGAGAAGAAATAAATAAACGAGATGCTAAACGAAGTAACATTTATTAAAAATCTAAAATTGAAAGACAAATTTGTTTTTTTTCTTACTCAGTTCAAAATAATATTTTTCATATTTGAAAATCAACTTTCGCTAACTTCATTTAAAAAACTAATAGATGTAAATGCATTGATAAGAAATAATTAAATCGATTCGAAATATTACACAAGATCAATTCAATGCATATCAACTTTCAATCAATTTATAGTAGTTTCAATTGTACAATTTGAGATCTTTTTTTGAAAATATGCTATTTAATATTATTCATTCGCAAAAACAAGTATTTTGTCCATTCTCTAGAAAATTTGATTTATATGAATACGGTTTTAGTCCGATTCAATTTTGCATTATTGTAGTTCTAGGATGAACTAAAAGTTGGTTTCGTTCTGTACTTACAAGTGAACTATTCCAACTATAACTTACCGTTTGAGTCTACAAGGAAATCTTACTAAGACTAGACAAATTCTAAAAGGATTCGTGGCTACAGCCCATTGAAATCAAGCTATAATCGTTATACTGAATGTTCGACCCATTTTTAGATATTTACTGGAAAATGAACAATAATGAAATTTCGATTTGAAATTCAATCAACAGGATAAGTTTAATGATCCTTGGAATATCCTGAAAGTTTCAGCCGAAAAGAATATTCCTTTGTCGAAATATTGAATTTCCAACAATTTCAGAATTTTTCAAGAGTCATTAGACCTGTCTATCGATAAAACTAAAGGTCGAAAATTCAGCAAAAATGGTCATAACTTTGCTTTAGAGACCCATGGGCACGAATTCTATTAAACTTTTTCTTGCCTTACTAAGATTTCTTTGTGGATTTAAGTGGTGAGTTATAGTTCAGATAGTTCCCTCATTAGATACGAAAATACGTGGGTGATTTTTTCATAAATATTGAATACTAATATTTAAAATTATTTTTGTATAACTAAGAAATAAAGATAGGATATTTTAAATCATGTTTTTTTTTTGTTTAAAGAACTAGAATTATGAAACAAGACTTTGTTGAAAAAGTGTTTTCAATTGATTAATATCACTCTTATTCTTTGCTCTTTCTAATATAACTTTCCTCAATGCAATCATTGTTCTTGTTGCTGCTGCTTTTATCCAAATACGTCCATTAGCTCCAATAGCTATTTCATATGGAATTTCATTTCCTAATTCTTGTAATAAATTATCATGATGAATTAAATCATTAGCTATATCAATTGGTATAGAAAATAAATATCCATTTTCATTTAATACACCCATACCATCTGCTTTTCCATCATCATTAACACATGTTATTTGTGGTTGACATTCACCATCAATTTTCAATCGACCATAAATAATATCACCACGATCAACATTTGGTTTTGTTCGTTTTGTTGAACCTTCAAAATCATATAATGATAATGAAGCTAATTCATTATAACCAATATCAACAAGTAATGATTCAAGTTGTCGACGTACAACAATACCAAGAATAAGATCACCTGTTGTTAATGATGATACTGATAAACGATGACCATCAATATAATATGTTAATGATGATGGTTCACGTACATGACCACATCCATGTGATGTAAATGCATTTGTATATTTATCATAATGTAAACCAGGACCAAGTGTTATTGAATTTGATGAATCAAGTGGACTTGGTAATGTTGAAAGTGCAATTGTATCACCTGGTAAAACAAATTCATCTATTTGACGTTCTATATCCATCTAAAGACATTTATATGAGAATTTATTTTGGTTTTTTTGTTTTAATATATATTTTATGTGTATAAGATTACGAGACACAAAGAGAAAAAAACAAAGAAAAAAGATGGTTATACACGTATACAACAAAAAAAAAAGACAAAGACATTCTGAAGTTTTCTGTGTTTGCTGCACATAATTTTTAAACAAAAGAACAAAAAAAAATTCCAATAGATTAACAATATATTTTATTTTGTCTAGTTTTTTTTTATCGATTGAACAATTTAAAGTAACATTTCGTTTGGTGCATCAAGATCTTCATAACTTTTCAATTGTCGATTCATACTAAATTTAAAAAAAAATATATTATAAATATATAAAGAAAAACAAAAAAGGAAATAATAATTTGCAAAAATAAATAATAACGATCTTACGCTGATGACATTAACATATCTAATGGAATATTTCTATTTTTAACATAATGTAGATTTTGTTTCTTTCTTTAAAGATAAAAAAAAAAGAAAGTAACTTACGGTGGTCGATGTATTGGACCACTGGAACCTTGATACATGAATGGTGGTCGCGGATGTCGAGGTTGATGAAATTGATTATAATAATGACTTGGTGGACCGGGATGAGCTGGTGCTGACACTATGAATCAAATGAAAAATATTCATACTATTTAAAACAAAAGGCCAGAATATCGACCTCGACTGAAATTAACTTCATTAATCCCTATAAAAAAAACCTTATTTGTCTTTAATTAGTTACTACATTCCGTAGTGCTGGGGTGTGAGTAGGTAGATGTGAATGAGGATGTATCACATGTGGGTATATGGTGTGCTATTGCGACCGTAGATGAAGAGAGAACCCACATTCACATCCGCACGCACACTCTGAGCACGATGTCGTCCTGCTAAGCAGTACGTCTTAATGTAAATGCATACTGCTCAGTACGATGGAATGAAACAACTAATTAAAGAAATAAGACTTTTTATAGGAGTTAATGAGATCGATTTAAGTTCAGGCCAAAAGTCTAGTCCGAAAATTCCTGTAAATCTTTTAAAAAAACAATAATAGTATACTTGAAGGCCATATTGGTGGTCGATTAAGTAATCCTTGACCTGCCATCGGTGTCGAAGGTGTAGGTAACGGTAAGCCAGATGGATGAGGTCCTATTTGTGTTGCTCCTGGTCGTGTTGAAGGATGTTCAGGTAATTGTGGTCGTTTTGGATCGTATAAATAATTATTAAAATAGACGACCTAAACATGATATTAGTTTTTCATTTAAATGATAACAAAAAACATTCTATAAATCTTACTTCTTTTTTAGCTTCATCAATTTTATCTTGATGTTTATTTAAAATATGTTTTCGAACAAATTCTGGACCTTTAAATTTTTTTCCACTTAATGGACATGACCATTTATCTTTACCAACTTCTTGACAATTAGCATTAATAAATTTTTCTATTTCATCTTGTTCATTTTTGGCACCTAATTTCATAGCTTCATCATCATCTAATTTTTCATGAAAATCAATAAATGGTTTAAGACGTGCTTCAAATTGTTGCATAAAATTTGTTAATTCAGCTTCTGTTATTGATGATAATGGTGCACCACGTACATGAATAACACCACAACGATTAGGCATTGAATCTTCTTGTGCATATTCTGTACCATTATAATAATCAATTGAATGAACAACACGTAAATAGAGTATTAAACGATCAAGAACCTAGAAATATTTTCAAAAAATAAAATAATAAAGTAAGATAGTAAAAAAAAGTTTAATAACAGCGTAGTTTTGATTCCTTTTTCTATATTGTATTAAGATATCAGCTCAAATCCAGATAATGATTTTAATATCCAATGGAGTTTTCTTTTACTAAAATTTTATAGATAAATTACGATGGCAAGATTTCCAAAACAAATCGAACATGTTAGTTTTCAGATCCTAGAAGACTTTGTCGAAGCTATTTTTTAACGATGCCATTTTAAAGAACAAAAAATGAGGAGCGACCCTCATTTTGTTCAGACTTTTATGCTTTTTAAAATAACATTATTGAAAAATAGCTCCGACAAAATTTTCTGAAACCTAAAAACTATCCTGTCCAGTTTTTTTTTAGAAACTTTACTTATAGAATGCATTAAATGCAAAACAAAACTTCATAGACTATTAAAATCACTATTTGAATTTGAGCTAATTGCTTAATATATTATAGAAAATCAAAAAGAAAATCAAAACTACGTTGTTGTTAACCTTTTCTTCCATCACCTTAAATGTTTTCTACATACTTTAGTTAATTGTTTATCAATTTCAAATGTATTTGAATCACGTTGTTGATTTGATGTTTCACCAAGTAATTCTTCTTCTTCAGCATCAGCTTCTTCTACTAAATGTTCAGTTATATTTTTTAATAATGGATTATGACTAACAAAACCAATTGGTTTTTTATTTTGAACTGATGATATAGCCATTGATGCTGTTGATGAAGATATTTCTGAATCATCAGTTGTTGATATTTGTGTCTTTTTTTCAATATTATCATTATTTACTGATTCCCAAATATTCCATCGATCATCTAATTGTTGAATAATTTTTGTTATAAGTCGAAGATCATTACGTACAATTGTTTTATGTTGTCCTATGCCATTAATAGTACGTATACGATTTTTAAGTTCACGATTAATAATTGCTCCCATATCAACATCATGTAACTGAATAGATCAAAAAAAAAAAACAAATATATCGAAACGAAAGTTAAATAGGGAAAAAAAAACCTTTGTTGAATTGAGTTCATAACAAATATTACGAATTTGAACTGAATGATCAAATGTAACCCAACCACGTCGAAAAAATTTTCGTTCAGGTGCAGGATCTGTTATACAGACACGACGAAAACCTGAATATTGTTTACATATCTAATTTATAAAGAAAAAAAAATAAAATCAATAAATTTTATTTTATTATTTTTTGAAATAGTAATTCTACATTTTCAAGATCATCTTTTGTTGTTTGCATAGACAAATGACGAAAAAAGATCGATAGTGTACGATGTAATGCTCGTGGTGCATCAGGTACTTCACCAGCTTCTGGTTCATTATCTTGTGAAGATGTTTTAGCTTCATTAATTTCTTTTGATTCAACTAGAAGAATAAAAATTAATTAAACTAATCAGAAAACAAAGAAATAATTTCATAGTTGTTATTTACCAATTGCAGATCCATTTTCTTGTTTTTTATTTGATATTTCACTTTCCATTGGTGTTTCATTTTTATCATTTATTTTCTTTTCATCATCTTCATCGTCTTCTGCACCATCGGATACTGCTCCATCATCTGATACACTACCTTCTCGTGTTTGCTAAAATTCAATACAATCAAAATAATTAAAAAAACAATTATATTTTTAGATTTAAAATTTCTCATACTTTATTTTCAGGCGATTTCTTTGAATTAGTTACTTCAACAGATGTTGAACTATCTGTCTTTTCTAATCGTGGTGGTTCGCTAATATTTGATGATTGTTTAGGTATATCATCATCACCATCATCATTGTCATTAGTAGTATTACTTATTGATGTTGCTACGTCAAGAGCACGAAGATCATGATCACTACCACCTTCCAATTTGATGACAACTATAATTAAATAAATTTACATAGAGATAGAATCTAAGAGTGCAACTCTTGAGAAGTTCAGAAGAAAACTAAAATATTGACATATTTTGATATAGTATTTTATCCAGACTTTTCTGTTCCGGAATGATGAACACCTATAGTACGTAGTACAGTAACCACAAACTTTGAAAGAGTCAATCTGATGTTCGGAGAAGCGCTGCTAGAGCCCATCGAATCCGACAAGCTCTAGGCGCTGCCCTCATATTTGATAAAAATATTGTTTCGATAAGTATATCTTACCGGCATCAAGAAATCTTGTAAGTGCACGTTGATTTTCAACATCGACACTAACATCATCTAAATAACTTTTATTATAAAGTTCCATAAATACATCAAGTCGTTTTTTAATAATTTGTCGTTGTTCTTCACGACGTTTTGGATATTCATCTGGATGATATTTATATTTAAACCTAAATTAAATAATTTATTATAAAATATTTCATTCAAATATAAAATTCTTGCTTATCCCTCATCTAGGAATTTTTTCAATTAATTGAGATATACACTTACGAGACTTCTCAAAGATGAAGCATTGTCAGAAAGTTATCCAAATATTGTATACATATGCGCAAGAAAGAAGGGAGAGTAAAATGTATAGAATATCGGTAATAATAGCGAACGCGCAAACGAATACGCTGAGAAAGAGCGTGTATTTTTTGTTTTTTTCGTACGAAAAATAAAATCATTATTCTCTTTGTTTATGAATTCAAAAATCAGATTCCCGATTTTTTAATCAGAAAATCTGTTTAGCGACGTAGAAAAGAAAAAAGATGTATATGCGCAAAAAAACAAAACATATGAATTGATATAGATGATTGAATATAGTAGACGAATGAATCGTTTTCACTAGAAGAAGAATAATACATATCTATCAATAAAAAATATTTTCTTATTTAATATAAAAAAAAAGAACTGAAAAAATAAAAAAAGAAAAACTATTTCTACAAACCAATCTTCATCTTTGTGTGCTGTAAAAAATTCAGCAATTTGAGTTTTTTTAAAATCTATTTTATATTCATTATAACGTTTAACAGCTTCTTCTTGATCAATATTATCATCTTGATCGTGTAGAAAATGTTTAAAACTTAACATTGGTGGTTGTGTTATACCATCAGATGCCTCTCTAACATAATAAAAAAAAACAAAAATCATAGAAATGCATAAATTTAAATTAAAACTTTTACTTATTAAATTGATCAGAAGGTGCACCAGCAGATTGATGAAGTGCAGGTGGAAAATTCGGATGAAAACCTGCATTACCATGGAAATATGGTGAACCACTAGGTGGATCAAAATGAGTTGGTGGTTGATCAAGACCATCCCTAAAAGAAAATGAATAATTTG